AGGGATTGAATCCAGGGTACTTTAGCACTGAGCCATATCCCCAGCCCTTTTTAATATTTTTATTTATTTAGAGACAGGGTCTCACTAAGATGCTTAGGGCCTTGAAACAAATCTTTTTGAATGGAGGGGAGGCACATAATTCAACCCATGAACCCACGACACTCTCCCACGTTAATACTCCACAGATCTGCTTCAGTGAACATTTTTTTCCGGGGTGGGGGGGGAATGGGGATTTAACCCAGGGATGCTTAACTACTGAGCTCCACCCCCAGTCCTTTTTATTTTTTTGTTTTGAGACAGGGTTTTACGGAATTGCTGAGCTTGGCCTTGAACTTGCAATCCTCCTGCCCCAGCCTCTCAGGTTTCTGGGTTTACAGGTGTGCACCACCACGCCCGACTTGAATGAACTTTTAAACATATACAATTCATCTCTCTCCTGATTTCTCATTATATGGAACAACATCCAAACTAGAATCCCCGTTCTGTACTCCATCTGGTTCCTGCCTTTTTCTCCACCCACCTCTTTCCAACCTGGTTTTCCTAATCTCTGCCAGGCACATTGTCTTCATATGCCCCTAATGTTTCAGGCTCCTTCCCCTTCAGGTCTTTGCTCTTCCTTTTTCCCAGAATGTGCTTCTCCCGGAAATCTGCCTTGTTCTCTTTCTCACTTCCTCCAAGTCTTTCCGCCCAGGGTTCCAGATCTAGAGCATAGAGTTCACTCCTGCCCACTCTCTCTGTTCCTGTTCAGTTTTCTTTCTTTTTTTTTTTTACACCAGTGATTGAACCCAGAGGTGCTTAACCAGTGAGACACACCCCCATCCCTTTTTGTATTTTATTTAGGGACAGGGTCTTCATTGATTTGCTCTGGGCCTCACTAAATTGCTGAGGCTGCCTTTGAACTTGCAATCCTCTTGCCTCAGCCTCAGGAGTTGCTGGGATCACAGGCATGTGCTGCTGTGCCTGGCCTGTTCAGTGCTGCACCTCATTCTATTCCATGTTTGTTTGTTTACTAGACTTTGTCTCCACTGGCAAGTAAATTCCATGAGGGCCACTCACACTGTCTAGCCACTGGAGATCAAGTTCATACATGCTAGGCATACGTTGTACTTCCAAGGTACATCCTCAGCCCAGGGGCACCTTTATTCCCTTACTGGAGAATGAACCCAGGAGTGGTCTACCACTGAGCCACGCCCCCAGCCCCTTTTATTTTTTATTTTGAGCCAGGGTTTCCCTAAATTACCCAGGCTGACCTGGAACGTTTGATCCTCTTGTCTCAGCCTCCCCAGTCAATAGGATTACAGGTGTGCCACCTCACCCAGCACAAAGGGATTTTTAAGAAATTCAAAATCCTTGCAGATATTTTTAATTAAATTCCTCCTCCTCCTCCTCCTCAATTTGGTCTTGGAAATTAAATCCCAGGGTACTCTAGCACAGAGCTATATCCCCAGCTCTTTTTATTCTTTTTTTTTTTTTTCTGAGACAGAATCTCACTAAGTTGTTGAGGCCTTAAATTTCGATCCTCCTGCCTTAGCCTTTCAAATAGCTGAGATTACAGGCATGTGCCACCAGCCCAGCTTAAAATACTTTCTTTTTTTTTTTTTTTTTTAGTGCTGGAGATTCAACCCAGGGATGCTTTACTACTGGGTTACATCCACAGCCTTTTTTTATTTTTTATTTTATTTATTAAAAATTTTTTTTAAAAATTGAGTTGTTGATGAACCTTTATTTTTCGTTTATTTATATGCAGTGCTGAGCATCAAACCCAGTGCCTCACACATGCTAGGCAAGCACTCTAGCACTGAGCCACAACCCCAGCCCCCTTTTTTATTTTTTGAGACAGGGTCTCACTAAGTTGCTGAGGCTGTCCTTGAATTTGTGGCCCTCCTGCTTCAGCCTCCCAAATTGTTGGGATTAAAGTTGTGCCCCACTGCACACAGTTTAAATTACATTTTGAACAGGCAACCCACTTAGGTGGCTGAAAAATCAAAATGGTATGAAAAGGTTCCTGGAGAAGTCTAATTTCCATTCCTGTACTCCATGTAGTTCCCTCTACCCCCACAGGAAAATGTTTTTATTATTCTCCCAGGATTTCATTATGCAAATACCACATATTTCCTTATATATTCATATTTTCCTGTCTTATACCAAAAATACCATATATACATATATTTACATATATATTCTTTTTTCCCCATCTTACACCAAAGATATTATTATATACACAGTCAGAACCTTGAGTTTCTGTTTCTTGAAAGTATTTCCTGGACATCATTCCAATGGTTTAGAACTTTCTTCTTATTTTTCCTTTACAGCTATGGAGTGTCCCCCCAGAAGACACATCATTATTTATTTATTTTATTTTTCAATTTTTGCTAGTGGGGATGGAACACAGGGGTGCTTTACCACTGAGCCACATCTCATCTCAGCCCTTTTTCATTTTTTATTTTGAGACAGGGTCTTGCTAAGTTGTTTAGGGCTTCACTAAATTGCTGAGGCTGACCTTGAGCTTGTGTTCCTCCTGAGTTGCTTGGATTACAGGCATAGACCAACATGCTTAGCCACAGCATAGTTTATTTTACCAGTTCCCCACTGATTTAAACATTTGATGTTTCTCATCTTTTGCTATTACCAAAAACGTGGGTCAGGGTTTTTAATTTATTTTTTATTGTTTTATGTATTTATTTTTTTGGTACCAGGGATTGAACCCAGAGGCACTTAACCACTGAGCCACATCCCCAACACTTTTTTAAAAACACTTTTTTAGTTGTTGATGGACATTTATTTTATTCATTTATTTCTATGCACTGCGGAGAATTGAACCCAGTGCCTCACCACATGTGAGACAAGCACTCTACCACTGAGCCACAACCCCAGCCCTCCCCAATCCTTTTTATGTTTTATTTTGAGACAGGGTCTCACTAAGTTGCTTATGGCCTAGTTGCTGAGGCTGTCCTTGAACTTTTGATCCTTCTGCCTCTGCCTCCAGAGTTGCTGAGATTACAGGTGTGTGTCACCACACCCAGCTCAGAGTTTTTTTATTCTATGCTAACTCTCCACTGCTCAGTCTTTTTTTCCCCCACATTTTTTTTATTGGTGCAATATAGTTTACATAATGGTGGGATTTTTTGTGATGTATTTGTACATGCACACAGTTACCACCATATAATTTAAACCCCCACAAATCTTGAAGTCTTCCCGCAGAGTACGTTGTCGACGCACACTCAGAGAAAACTTGAATAAGTGTATAGACGAGTGGGTGAATGCATGAGTGGACGAATGAAGGGCGAATGAACCATCAATGAGCGAGCCAAGGAAGCACGCAGGATGCAGGCCACTGAAAGCAGTTCAGGTGCAGTCGGCCTGTGTGCTGTGCTGCGGCGAGACCCCCGCTACGTGGCGCTGCAGGCGGCGGGCGCGCCGGGCCAGGCGGGGATGGTCGCTCTTGCCGTGCACGCCGGCTGCGGCGCGGGGGCCCAGCGTGGGGGGTAGGGCGAGTCATATGACCCGCTTGGCTTCCTGGCTCCGGCCGCCGCCGCCCGCCCGTGTCCGCCCGTGTCGCGCCGGGGCCCCGAAGAGCCGTTGGCGGGGTCCGGGCTGAAGCCCGCTGGTGTGGAAGTCTTCGTCGCCGTTGTCTCCCGCCGTCCCGTCCGCCTTCGCTCAGCGCCGTCATCATGCTGGCGCTCATCTCCCGCCTGCTGGACTGGTTCCGCTCGCTGTTCTGGAAGGAGGAGATGGAGCTGACGCTGGTGGGGCTGCAATACTCGGGCAAGACCACCTTCGTCAATGTCATCGCGGTGAGCGTCCGCCCTGGTTCGGCCGCCCGCGGGTCGGCGGGCTCCTCCCCTAGGGCTGGGGTCAGGTCGCCCCCTCTGGGCGCTGCGGGACGGGCGGGGGCCTGTGACCTGACCGTCCCCTACCGGGGGTCCGGAGGCGGCTTTTCGCGCGCCGGCGGCCGAGGTCGGCAGCGGCAGGGTTAATCATGCCTTTGAACGCGACCGAGGCCCGGGGACAGGGTCGCCCGGAGCTTGTCACGTTGTTTAAAGTGCTGTTGTTGTGGGGCTGGGAGGGAGTGCGGAGTCTCTCGGTTTGGCTCCGTGTGGAAGCAGCTCAAGGGTTACACTCCAGTCCGTCACTCTCCCTTTAGGGTGGGATTTGGCGTCGAGTGAGCGTAAAGAAAGAAGAGCCCTTTTTTTCAAGTTGCTGCTTGGGACCAAGTGGCCCATTGTTGAGGCCAGGAGAGCGGTGTGGGCGCCCTACAGAAGAATTCTGAGGGCCGCTTGACCTCTCTCTGAATTCACTTACTGGTTTCCACTGGTCTTCCTAAGGTCGAAGATTCAGCTGGTGGCAGAGGGGAGGGACAGTTCCACCGACTCCAAGGTAGTCCTAGTGTTTATGAAGCCAAGGAGTGGGGTGTGGGTGTGTTTTGCAGAGCTAATTGTCTTATTAAACGAATGGGCAAGATGGATCTTCTGCAGTCAGCGTCACGTTAACTGTCTTGCAAAAGGGGATTTGTCTTCTGCTTGTGCTTCTCACTTGAGAAGGGAGTGCCAGGAACCGAACTTATGCCAGGCCCAGGGAATGGGTGTTAGGGCGGGAAATGGCTCTGAGAACTTACATACAATGCGGTGTTTATTCAGCAGTGTAAGTAGGATGGTTATTCGGTTGTGCGTTTTTGGGTTGGGGAAGGAATAGGAGTGAAGGATTTCTCCTCTGTCTTTACTTGGAAAGTTGCTGTGATTCAGTGTTGTCTGGTAGGGGCTTGGACTTGCCAGGGATGAGCTTTAGAACTGTTCTGAAGAGAGATTGTGGCAGTTCTTTCGCCTTTTAGATGACTGTTGAAATCTTTATTTAACTGGCCGTCCAACTGGTTTGGTTACAGGAGTGATTCAAACACTTGTTGGAGAAAATACGTAGCTTGTGACTCTTAGTCCTTGCAGTATAGAGCAACAGGGGTGAGTAAGACTTGGAGGAAGCAAGATTAGTAGAAATCAAATGTCTTTTGGAGAATATTGCATATAAGTATAAAGGAAAATTGCCAACTGGTTTTACTCCTTTTGTAATTTATTATTTTTCTTAAAATGACTGTCTTTTAAATATCTGGTGTGACTAATAAGGAAAAACAAACTTTAGGTCATGTATTCATATTAAAACTTTAATATAATATGAAAAAGGTGAGGCTTTAGCCTGAGTGGCCTAAATTTTCTGATATTTACTTAAATCAAACTTTGACAAGGTTGATTTGTGCAATCAACTGCTTCTTGCAGAAAAGTAGTTGTGCATGGAAAATATTAAAAAGTTGAGTGAATATTTGAGAAACTTGTTGATTTAAGTACTTATATCTTCAATAAACATTATAACTTAATATTATAAGCTTGAACTTTGATGTCAAGGAACCCTGATTTTGAAATCTGGATCTGCCACAGCTTCCTTGAGTCCTTGCTTCTCATCAATTAAAAGCAGATAATAATATGTTTCTTATAGAATTGTTCTGAGGATTAAATGCAGTGGAAAATGTTCAGTGACTAGCAGTATGCCTTCCCATTTAAGGGGTAGCTAAATGGCAACTATTGTTATTATTTGTAGTGTCTCTATTTAATGCAGAAACAATGAAAAATACTGAGACAGGCACTCAGCTGTGATTGTTTCCTTTGAATCTCAGGTTGTACCTAAATGCCAGCTACAGTAGTAGATTTAAGGCTGTTGTAAAGTAATCACATCATGCTCTCTCCTTTCACATTAGTTTATTTTAGTTAACAACAGCATAACTTTTGCAGAGATGTTGAATTCACAGTGACACAGTGGTTCTAACTATTAATCTTAGATATTCTCTGAGGTAAAATGGTGTGGAGAGGCTTTGTTAAGAAAATCTGTCATCACAAAAATGATTAGGATATATCAATTAACTTGATGTAATCATTCCACATTATATAATTCATAAAAACAATTCTGATTCATTAATTTAAAATAATATTAGTTTTAGAAAGGAGTAAAAAACCTGTACTATAATTGACATTGGCCTTCAGAATGCTGAAAGAGGTACCTTATAAACCTTAGACTCTGATTTTTTTAACCTTTATTTTATTAATTTATTTTTATGTTATGCTGAGGATCAAATCCAGTGTCCCACATGTGCTAAGCAAGTGCTCTACCATTGAGCTGTAACCCTGACCCCAATCTGTGATTCTTATAGAATATATTGAGGGTGAAGAAAATGTTAGTGATTTAAAGGATTTTTAGATAAAAATGATGTATCTAAAGTATTAAAACAATCCAGGTGTGGTGGCTCATGTCTGTAATCCCAGCAGCTTGGGACACTGACACAGGAGGACTGCTACTTCAAAGCCAGCCTCAGCAAATGTGAGATGCTAAGCAACTCAGGGAGACCCTGTCTCTAAATAAAATACAAAATAGAGCTAGGGGTGTGGCTCAATGGTCAAGTGCCCCTGAGTTCCATCCCGAAACACCTCCCGCCGCCCCCCCCCCCCACAAAAAAAATTGAGCCTTATTAAAAATATTTTTTGAACAAATTATTAACTAATCAAGTATAGATTCATCAAATTTAAATATCACTGTATCTATCTTAAAAGGTAAGACAGATTTAATAGATATAATTTATCTTACTCAAAAGGTTTGTGAAGCTGAACTACTTAAAAGTAGGGTTTGGTTCAATTCTAAAAGATGAGGCTGTTAAGTTAAAGTTACAGAGATGTTTAGTCTTCAAATACTCATAAGGTTGTGGTTTTTTTTGTTTTTTTTTTTTTTTTTAAGTTACGTTGGGGATTGAACCCAGAACCTACTACATGCTAGGCAAGCACTCTGTCACCCCGCCCAACTCATAGGGTTTTGAAACTGAAACGATACCTCATTTTATCTAATATTTTATGAAGGAACATTTGATTTACATAATGTTCTCTTTTGTTTTGAACATTGTAAAAAGAAACACCTGTGGACTTTAATTTTATGTTTGTTTCAGGGAATGAAATAAAGCCCGTTGTTAACTATTCTGGCAGTTATTGCATAATAAGTCATGTGTGTTTTGTGTGTAGTGAATATTGAGTAATCTTTGGAACTCTTACAGTTTATAGTATAGTTACCTAGAAATAACGAGTGTGAATTTGCCAAAACGTTGTACAACAGATTTTTATAAATGGATAAAATGGATATTGTTATGAAAATTTATCTATACTTTAACAGATTTTGCTAATCAGGAAGGTTAGTCCATGGAAATTAATTACTACTGAGCATTAAGAAAAGAAAATGTGTGGGAAGATTGTAGATATCTGAATCCAGAGTCCTTTTTTTGGGAGGGGGTGATACTAGGGATTGAACCTGTGGTGCCAGCCCTTTTTATTTTTTATTTTGAGACTGGGTCTTGTTAAGTTTCTGAGACTGCCCTTGAACCTGTGGTCCTTCTGCTCAGCCTCCCAAGTTGCTAGGGGATGACAGGCATGCATCACTGTGTCCATCTTTAGTGTCTTTTAAAAAAAGAGTTTGTAACAGCCTTCCTTATTCTAACTTTACCCTTATTTCAAAGAGTGGCCAGGAAGTCCAGAGAGGCAAGTGAAATTCCAAAGTCAGCAATGCTAGGAAATAGCAAGGATAGAGTTATAACCCAGGAAAATGCACTTTCTTCTTTTTTTCACGGCCTCTTTGGATCTAGCTGAGGTTAGAACCAGAGAGCTTATAGTTGGAAGATTTTAATTGTTTAAAAATAATTTTCATGCCTGGTGTGGTTGGTTGTGCACGCCTGTATTCCCAGTAGTTCGGGAAGCTGATCTGATGCAGGAGGATCAGAGTTCAAAGCCAGCTTTAGCAAAAGCGCTGAGTAACTCAGTGAGACCCTGTCTCTAAATAAAATACAAAATAGTGCTGGCGATGTGGCTCAGTAGTCTAGTGCCCCAGAGTTCAATCCCTGCTACAAAAAAAAAAAAAAAAAAATCATTTTTGTGTGCTGGTGATGTTGGGCAGTGGTAAAGCACTTGATTAAAGTATGTAAGATCTGGGTTTAATCTTCAGCATACACACACAAACGCAAAAACTCTTCTCACATATAATATGCTCATCTATTTAGCAGAGCTGGGGATCAAACTCAGGTCTTCACACATGCTTTGCAAGTGCTCTACCAATGAGCTATACTTCCAGCCCTCCAAATTTGCATGGCATTTTTATATTCAGGCACTTTTCTTTCCTACCATACTGGGGATTGAACCTCTGGCACCCTGTCACAGAGCTACATCCTCAGCCCTTTTAATTTTGAGACTGAGTCTTGCTAACTTGCCCAGACTGGTCTCCAGCTTGCCTCAGCCACCTATGTACCTGTGCTTACAGGCCTGTGCCACTGTACCTGTCTGCGTTTAGGCATCTTAAGCATGTGTGTTTGCAAACTATTACATGTAAGGACTTGAAGTATTTGTGTGTATTATATATGTTATATATACACTCATGTATATGGACATTAGAGAAAGGAGTGAATGATAATCAGTGGAAAGGAAGAGTAGTGGAAAACTATGTTGACATATTTAAATAACTGGCTAATAGGCATTGTTGAGTTTTTTGTTTTGTTTTGTGCTGGGGATAGAACCCAGGGGAGCTTAACCACTGAGTTACACCCCAGCCCTTTTTAAAAAATATTTTTATTTAGAGACAGGGTCTTGCTGAGTTGCTTATGGCCTTGCTGAGTTGTTAAGACTGGCTTTGAATTATAATCCTCTTGCCCCAGCCTCCTGAGCTGCTAGGATTACAGATGTGTGCCACCACTCCTGACTGGACTACTTTTAATATATGAAGATTAGAA